TGTGTGTGTGTGTGTGTGTGTGTGTGTGTGTGTGGGCAAGGGAATTACATTCACTCGGAATAGGTATTAGAACGTGTCTGTATCTGTATTGTGTATAGTGTTTGAGGAAGAACGCCCACGTGGACATACAGAAAGACAAGAGGAGTGGGAGATGAAGTGTATGGATAATATCGGTGGAGAGCTTATAGACGGATGGAATTAGTGATAAAGCGTCGGATAGGTCAAACAACAGTTTTACGTCCACGTAAAAAAAAAGAAAAAAACGAAAACACTGAAAAGAAGATGATTGAAGAACAGAAATAAATGATGGAGAAATTCATTGCATTCACCTTCACTTTCCACCTTCCGGAAACCTATCTATCCAAAACTTCAGCAAACAAACTTCACTATCTAAACAAATACGAATGATTTGTTTCTTGAAATTATATATTACACGCTGTAATAATATCTTTTCCTATGACTCGTTCATTATAAATAATAAAACGATAAATGTTAATATGATGAAATAACACAGCTAAGACAAAATTTCATTTTAAACTTTTAATAAATAGCTTAGCAATAACGTTTTTCTTCTTTTTTGGTAATTCTGTTAAGGTATTATTATTTTTTATTGAAGCATTAAATATGACAAGTGATAATGAATAGTTATGGGAATTTCTAATATTTATTAAAAATTGAGCAATATTCAATAGATATTGGATAAAAATTTTGTTTAAAATTTTATTGCAAAGAATTTTTTTTTTAAATTTCTGCACGTAAAGAAAAATACTCAGCAATCAACTGAATAGGACATTTGCAGTATTTTGTCAAATAATAATAAAAATTTATTGAAGACAGCAGCATTTGAAGCAACGAGAATTTGCCAGCCGTACTTGCAATAATTTATTTTAAAAATGATCAATATGTAATTTAAAAGAATAATGAAAAGTGACAAAAGAAGATCGGTCAATTATAATAACAGAGAAGACATGTAATGATATCAGGAACGATGGAAAAATATATGCCAATGAGATTGCATGTATAGGAAGGAGTTGAGATAATCTCATGAAATTTTTTTTTTTTTGTAAATTAGAAAAATGTAATATTTAATCATTTCATCTCAATATTTCTCTATCCATTTTTACTGAATAATTTGATATATTTGTTGTCAATATCACAGAAATGATACTTGAAATGACAAGTAATTATTGTTAAAAATAATGCAAGATATTGATATGATATAATATGCGCGAAAATTCTTTTCCAATTATTTTATGTGCAAGCAATAAAAAATGTTTAAATTGTGTTATCTTAAAACAATGTTAAAAATGATGATGATAATCTGAAATTAAATGTTTCCTGTAGGAAGATTGAGAAGAGATGCAGTGGCAGGATAAGATGATAAGTAGAAGGAGTGAATGAATGAGGAAGGGTGCACAACTGAGTAGCATCAGCCAAACTATCATCGTCAGGTTCAAGCAAAATTCTTCAACATATCGATTTTGTAAGTTCTTCTACATCTCGCCTTTGCATCACAAATATTTCACAGTCAATTAGTTATCTTTCACTCTTTTACTCTAAAAAAAAAGTACACAGCAATAGGAATTCCGAACAGTTGATCTCTGTAAGTAAAATTACTGCTTGTAAAAAGATTTTACAAGAACTGCATTCTGGAATGTAAAGAAAAATTTTAACAAGCTCGAATTGAAATTATTATTTCCAGCATTACAAATCAAAGAGTATCAGGGAAAATTGAAAGTAATTTATAATACAAAAGTGTTTGAATAATAATTAAAATTAATTTATAATACAAAAGTATTTAAATAATCAAAGTAAATTTGCATTGTAGAAATTTATAAAATCGATTTATCTCAAATATATTGTCAATAAATGATTTATTGCCATATTGATAGTTAACTTCTCTTATTCACTAAATTGTCTGAATTACAAAATTAATTATAACATTATCATTTAATTTGGTTTATTTCTCAATTTATAATTTAAATAAAATTGTTAATATGTAGTTGTTTCAGTTATCAAAGGATCAGTTGTTCAATACTTGACAATTCCTTGTTTACCATGAATTTCGTCTCTGAGATGATCATGAAATGATTTGCTTGTTTGCATCGTTAATCTTTGATTCCTAAGGAAATATAAGCAGTGCTATAAGTTGCTGTAGTGAAGTTTAGTTCCAATGTTTCTCAAAGGTGTTTCAGTATCGTGCGACGATAACATACCATCTAAATCCAGTTCGATTCTCAACTATTACTCAATCCCAATTATATTATTTTAAATCATGAAATAACAAAAGAAGGACAATCAACCAACTGACCGACCTTATCATTGATAATTTCTGATAATTGTATTAAACGTCAAAGCAGCTAAACTTCTCAATTAAATAATTAACCCCCTCACTATTATTCTATTGTATTAGAGAAGAAATAAAGTTAATTCCATAATATGATTATCAATAATAAAACTGTAAATTGTTAATTAATATATTCAGATTAAGCATTCGAAATGGTAAAATGAAATAGCAGAATTGTTAATATTCAATGCTCTTAACAATTATGGTTAGCAAGCGGTACATATTATCATTGCTGTTAACAGATCGAACATTATCACTCAATATAAGGTGTCGAAAAAAGAAGAAAATCAGGTCTTAAATGCATGTGTTTTCGTAGATGGCTTAGTCGATGATAGAAGATTAGGCTGAAAGTTGAATTCCAAGGCTGGGAATACTACATGAAATGGAAGCAATGATATATGCAGCAGTGAGTCCCAGAAATATTTTAATATTAATCAATCCAGTGATCAGTCAGAAATAAAATAATCTGATTGCAGGAAAAAAAAGAAAGGATTGATAGAAGTTTTTAAAATGAGGAAATTAATTGAAAGGGTAAAAAGGATTCTTTTTTTTTCTTTCTATTCATGAATAAAGCTTCTTAACTTGAAATTAATTAAAGAATATGAAAATAAATTGATCCTTAATTAGATTTGTCATTGAAAGTGAACCCAATATTGCAATATTGAAATGTTCGAAATCTTTATGCTCAATGCACCCGTCATAGATGATCGTAAATGGAAGAATACATTCTGAATGGATGAATGAGAGAATATATGTGATCTATTTGTGAATTGAATGAATGATAATAATATATCAATTAAATTCTTTTCTTCTTCCTGCATACATTCAGCAATCATTTACGTCCTGTTCAAATAATTTTCTCCAAGTCGAATAATTAATTGCACATGAAAATGTGAAACGAAATTATGACAATCCGAAATCTGGAAAACTAGAAATATTAAGAAAAAATTTTTTTATTCACTTCTACAAGAAGAAAAAAAAAAGAAAAGAAGGATTGATTAAAGCTTTAAAAATGAGGAAATTAGTTGAAAGGGTAAGGAGAAACGAACGTCGCCATATAACAACATCAACATTTCACAATAGCAAATTTAAAGGGTGTAAGGGTGAAAACGGTAAACTGGTTTCTTCTTTTTTTTTTCTGCTAGCGATAGTCAATTTATAGGAGATTTGTTCGATTATGGACAAAGTTTATTACTACAAACTTCCACCGAACGTCGTGCATATCATTGATGCTATGATCTTATAATTATAATCCACAATTAGGTCAACAGGAGATGTATTTTATTCAGGCTTCCCTTATAAATTATCTTTTGAATACACGAATTATTTGACCACTCCCGCTTTTTTTGGGGGAAAAATATCTTCTCTTGTAAAAAAAAGAAAAGGAAAATATCAATGAAATCTGAATGAATTATATTTTAAAATCATTTCAACCCTTTAATAGTTTATTGCCACAATTTCTTTCACCACACAGATTTTGACTTGAACCAACATTCATCAAAAAACGAGAGCTTTCTTCATTATCCAAACATATCCGTATATATTTTTCTCCAGTTATTTTTTACACTTTTTTTTTTCATTTTTAAAGCTTCTGAAAGTACATGCATAAATGAACCTTTTTATAAATCAAATGACTAAAACTAGAAAATTGAAACTAAAAAAGTCTTCTGAGAAAGTTTAAAAGTTTGCAAGTTTAATATTATTCTTTTTTTCTCGCTCCTTTCTGGAATTTTACGACATCAATCATTCATAAAAAAATTTTAAATCGTAGGAAATGAATTTAATTTATAACGGTAGCAGCAGTTAATTTTGCATAATATGCATTTATTTGTTTTTTAATGAACTTTGTCGAATGGGTTTTAAGACATTGATCCAGAAGTAGATGTAGAAGGCTATGTTACTGTAAGTTTCAACAATCAATTTACCCGTGACAACATCAATTGTGACAGTTGTAAAGTATAGCGGAAAAATGTTTTCCTTTATATTTCAGTGAACATTTTTCTAAAGATTTTATTTTTTACAAATATCTTTTGAATTTTGCTAATATTTCAATAAAATAATAACTGATATATTCTAGCGATTTTTCTATATTTGAATTACATTCCAAATATGTGCAAATAGATTGCGAACACTTTTTAGTCCTTTTATTAAAAATGTTGCTTCATTTCAAATACACTTTTCTGATCTTCGTCTAGCGAAATTCCTTAGCTCATGACGAATACTGCGTGGGAAATTTTTGGCAATCTGAAAAACAATTTTTTATTAGCAATTTGCCTTTTTCAATACTTTTCGACTTATGACTTATTTCTTGTAGAATACTGAACGTACGAATTTCATGTAATATATGGAAGGATCTCTGTACCATACAATCTATGATTATTCATATTGTAAATTTCGCAAAAAATTTTTAAAAATTCCTGGAACAGATACGCATTGTGATGTTAGTTTTTTAATCTATGAACTTCACCTATGATCATCACTACTTCTAACTTTTTCTTTTGGTTATCTAAAAAAAATGATTTAACGCACGAATCAAAAAATATTTTTTTTCAAAAAATTCCCATACAAACAAATCTACCCCAAATCGCTCATTAGGCTCCGCGTAAGCAAGAATATTCAGTGCTTTTCGTGCTTCATTAGACATTTGCCGTATATGAAATAGTAACTGTCGTTGGCAGCGTCGGCGTTCTTTCGTATATTGGTTGTAAGCAGTAAGCTGTTTTGTAGTTAGCAATGATACAGCGAGCAGATGAATCTGAAATTATAAAAGATTTCTGAGATGATTTGAGGTTTTTTAATTTATGCATTTTGAAAAATGAATTATGTTACCATTAAACGCATATAAAGGCGTTTCTAAACACGAGGTTAAACACTTGAATTATTAACATTTCTTCCGATTATCAATCAGTTTATTATTTTACTGCCTACTTTGAATCTGTAATATGTTTATCATTCATAACTCTTTAATGATTTATAAGATTTACCATCTCTTCGCGTAAGCCCTCAGATGGAATGTCTGCATCGTTCCATACTTTAGTAAAATTATTGATAATATCTTTACTTGCATCATTTAAAAATTCTGGGAGTTCAAATGTTTCTGAAATCTGCAAATTTCTTTGTTATACTAATTGTTAGAAATATCGGTGAACAATCAGCAGTATTACAGATTAAGAAACATTACAGGCACTACATCGTAAACAGCATCTTCCAGAATTAGAGAAAGGTTGCTAGTCGAATTATATCCATAACGACCGTTGTATATTTTTGAATTTACTGAAATAATTACATTTTTCATATATTCTCTATATAGAAAAGGTTTTGCTTAAAGCGAACAACACAATCTTAAAGACAAAACGAAGTGAAGATTTATTTTCTAGTAGGATTTTTAGGATTGATAAATAATATCATCATCGATATTGAAAATCTTCATTATGATATGTTTACTTCTCTTTTCATATGTTCTTGATTATATCATATTTGGCATTAATTCTTATAAATATTATGAAGTATTTGATGAGTATTATCAAATGACAAATTTGGTTTTACCGTAAGGAATCCAAGTTGGATTTCCTTTTTTTGAATTCCGTGCTGTGTATCGTTAAAATTTTTTTCGTTTGTTGAAATTTTTATTGATATGGACCATATCATATAATTGCAAATTAGTAATGATATATCCTTTCTTTTCAGTAGAAAACAAAAAAGTCGGGGCCGGATAGAAAGAAAAAGAATTGGAGTTGTTTAATTCGGAAGTTTGCATTACTAATGAAATCTAAGGCATACGGATGTGTTCATCAATCGTTTTGTTTAGATAGGTATGCGATGGGACAGAAACAGAGTTCAATAAAAAAAGTGTCTTTTTATCTTCTATTAACAGTTTCAAAAAAAAAAAAAATTAACCTTGCTTTCTATTTTTTTTTCATAATCTTTTTATCTTCTATTAACAGTTCAAAATTAACCTTACTTTCTATTAACAGTTCAAAATTAACTTTATTTTCTATTAACAGCTTAAAATTAACCTTTATGCTGATGTTTTGCAGGAAAAATATTAACAGCTGTAAGGACAACATCAGTAGCAATCTGTTCCGCAACGCAGCTTTTTCCAGATTTGTAATTTTGCCTATGCATTTGCATTATTATCTCTCCAATAAAACTTAAACAGGTAAAAGATGAGAATTTTAAAATTTCTGAAAAATTGATTTTATTGCTCAAAACTGAATAAAAGGGATGGATTTCTTCTCTTATGATGTTTTTAAGAATGAAATTCTGGTATTCCTGGAATAACTCAAACCTTTTTCTAATTTTCTAGACTTCTCATTAATAAACAGAAAAAAAGTTTTACTTCAAGTTGTATTCCAAGGCTTACCAGATACTTCGCAATTTTTCCTTTGCAAAATCTGGCATTTGATTATATTCAGGAGGTAAACGGCACGGGCGTGACACCTAAAATCAATAATGAAGCTAATGAAACCTTGCAAAAAATGAAAAAATAAATAAAAATTTTTCGATCAATTTCATTATTTGAAACATTCAAATATAAATTGAAAACATCATTGGAAAAATCAAATTTCTGATGTTTCAACGAATAAGATTAAAAAAGAAGCCTAAAAATTATGAAAAAATAAAAAAAACTAACACTTGTTGCCACACTTTGATGTAATATCTCAAATACGGGATAATGTAACAAGTATAGAAATATCCACATCTGAAGAATAGTAAATCATCCTTACAAATTTATACGTATTCTCAAATTTGGAATTAATAATTACTTTTTTTGTTCATAAAAAGAATATATTAAACGGATCAAGTTTTTATTTACCAGCTGGTTATTCTTCAATTCATCATATAAACAATTAACATTTCTCTATTAGATTAACTGTTAAAACTCTGTGATGTTAAAACTTTGTGGTTTAATATTCAACAATCATTTTATTATCTTAATCTGACTAATTAAAACGATAATTTTCGAATTTCGAAAAAGATAAAAATATATAGCGAAGAAAAAGTATAACATACGAATATTCCACTGCACATTTTCTTTCAACTGAAACTATTTAGGTACAGTAGAGAAAGCGATGTATGCCTACTTATTATTACAGAAAAAGTCAAGGTGATTACTTCTCTAAAATCCAGTTCTTTTTATTCAAAATATGGATATGTAGCAGATGAAACGACATATTCACATCGTATTTTATCCATTAACTTCTAAACCGAAAGAACTATTCACTTCTCCTATTGAGCTTAAAATAATTTCTTGAAAATTCCCTTAAAGCAATTACCAATACTGCACCAGCGCAAACTCGTTCCTCAATTTATAATGAATTATTTTGATTACTTATGAATTATATTGCCATCTTTTCGTTCTAATCTCTTAAAATCTTAGTTTTTCAGCTACAATAAGGAACTTAATCTAATCTGCAGCATCAGATGATTAGAGAGGGATATCTTTTTTTCCTTTTTTTTTTTGAAATTGCCAATTGGTCGTGATGCTGCACCTCAATCGGCATGCAGTATAGTATTAAAAATAATTTTATTAGTTAATTAAGGAAAACATAAATAAATACATGGAATTAAATTATAAATACATGGAATTAAATTTCGTCAAATACAATAAGATCAACGTTCTCTATTTTCATGAAAGCACAAGAAATTTATAAAGCACAGTTTTTAATTTAATCCTTTCTAACATCATCATTATCATCACTAGTACTAGTGTTAGTACTTACCATCACTGTCTTAGTCATCGCTACCAGTGTCAATATCACCGTCATTGTTTTTGTCATTATAATTGCCGTTTCCGTCATTATGATTGTCATCTTTTCCTCCATTATTATGATTGCCGCCCTTCCCTCTATCATTATGATTGCTATCCTTTCCCTCGTCATTATGACTATCACCCTTCTTTGTTCCACTGTCATTACCGTCATTCTTATTGTCCTTGTCGTTAGGATTAACATCCTTCTTGTTACCATCATTAATATCACTATCTTTGTTATCATGCTTAATGTCCTCACCTTTGCCA